GCTTTGGTTCAACGGTAAAGGTAGTACAATGTGAGATGTGTGGTAGGCATACATCACGTGTTCGAGACATGCTGAGGACTGAGGATCCAAATCTAGTATTTAAGTTGAGAAGGATGGAAGAACGGGCCAGTAATCCACCAAGTTTCGGAGCTGGAGACAGCGGATTTCTCAGCTATCAGAAAGAAAAAATGTAGTCATTTATCAGCCTTGAGCTTTGGTTCAACGGTAAAGGTAGTACAATGTGAGATGTGTGGTAGGCATACATCACGTGTTCGAGACATGCTGAGGACTGAGGATCCAAATCTAGTATTTAAGTTGAGAAGGATGGAAGAACGGGCCAGTAATCCACCAAGTTTCGGAGCTGGAGACAGCGGATTTCTCAGCTATCAGAAAGAAAAAATGTAGTCATTTATCAGCCTTGAGCTTTGGTTCAACGGTAAAGGTAGTACAGCGTGAGATGTGTGGTAGGTGTATGTACATCACGAGTGCGAGTCTTGCTGGGGAGCCAAAGCATAGTATTTAAGTTGAGAAGGATAGAGGGGTGGGATGGTAATCTACAAAGTCTCCCCGAGCTGGACACAGCTGATTTTCTTTTTAAAAAGAACAAATGTGACTAGTCATAAATCAATATATCAATCAGCATGTTCTCCAGCAGAATGACATCACTGACTTGACTGCAGACATCACAAAGCTCTCAATGGACTGAAGCAAGCTGTCTGAGCTTTTTCACTCGTTCCAGAACTATATTGGAAGTTGTTGCATATCGTAGCAAAGCTTCCCAAGATTGAAGATTTGGGGAGTAAGACATCAGTTCTTGATGGTGAGTGGTGAACTGGTAAATGATGTACATCTCTGTTTGATTTTCTCGTGTTGTTGATCAGTGAGTGAACGGTTATCTCCTTACATGGTCTTGGACAATGCTCACTTCATCAGGTAATTTTTGAGGTTGAGCTAAGGCCCGAGGTTCATTTTCTTAATAGTTTCAAAGTGAAGTATCCCCGTCGATCTTGGGAGGAAGGCAATTCTAATGGTGAAATGGAAAGTGGACATTCTTTTGTGTGGAGAAGTTGGCAATGCACACTGTACAGTTCTCTAACAGGTAAGCTTTCTGTTGATGCTCCTTTTTATTTGTTTTAACTGACCATTTTTAACACATGTTTTGTTAGAATAATTGTTTCCAATGTTTTTGCAGTATGTCTAGGAAGTTAGTAAGTGGGCGGGATAACTTCCGGACAATGGTGGAGGTAGGATTTTCACTAAGAGCCCCTTCTGCGGTTCTGCCCCGCTAGCTTGGCCTCAGCTTCCAAGGTGTGTGAAAAGTAAAAATTCCCTAGAGATGACATATGCTTCTATTTAAACAATTTTCTGCTATATTAGTTTTGTTTTTGAACTATTTGTGTTTTGTGTTTCCACTCTCGATTCAATTAATTTATTAATTATTTTTTGCCACCATGCCTTTGTATATATATTAAATATTATAGCAATCCATATTTGTCGTACGTGTCACTTACTACGTGGGAGATTATTGATACATTTTTCATTGTCATACTACATAAACAAATTCTCAAACTTGGTCTGATAAGTAAATACTCCAACTTTAATAGCACACATTTCAAAACATTCCTAGGAACATTCACATTTTTACTCCTACTACATAAGCGTAACCAAACGACAGTACAAGCAAGTCGTAGATAATTAAACTAGGTTTAGAGATGAGCAAAATACAAAGATATATAGCTAGGTTAGGGATCTATGACTAAGAGAAGCAATACCCCACAAAAATTGTTGGTGGGGGTGGGGGTGGGGGTAGGGGGGATGTATCTTTGGATCTTGTTAATTATATTATTGGAATGTAATATTATGTCAAAACAATAATGTGTTGGGGCTTTTAACTAAAAAGAATCATTCGTTAGAACAAACATTTCACGTTCACGCAAGGTCTTAATTCTAGAATAGAATTGATTGCAATTCAAAGAGTGTGACGTAAATTTTCTATTTTAATACAAGCATCGATATTTATTTTCACGATTCAACTCATAAAAGTAGAAGTACTAAGTACTAACTTTATATTAGACAAATTTTATTTGGAAAGTACTAATTTATTATTAACACCTTTTAGTGTAATAGCCAACTCTACCTAGTAGGACAAGTCTCTAACTATATATTAAATCAATATGCAAAAATATGTGTTTATATTCAAGCTAAGAATATATAAACATATTGTCTAGGTAATTAATTACACATTATTATTGGGGTTTAACCTAAAGATACCTAAAGCCACGTCATCCTTATCATCAATGTAATTCTTTTTCATTTCAATTTATTGTCTTACTTTCCTTTTTAGTTCATTCTAAAAAAGAAAATTTTGTTTTCTTTCTGGCAACTTTTTAATTTCACTTTCCACGTGACACATTTAAGACTATGAGATTAGGAGACATTGTGATACATTCAACATATTTGTAATTTAAGATCACAATTTTTTTTAAATTTTTTTTGTATAAATTTCATATCAAATTAAAACTAGACAATCAAATTGAAACAGAGAAGAAAGTAATAAAAAAACTCATAGAGTGAATTCATATAAAATTTAAATTTTGAATTCGTGTCGATAATTTTAGTTAGACATTCATTCACACAACCCCACATGTGCATTGCCTAATGTTATGACACACCAATGGCCACTATTTTTTTTTCAATAAACTAATTCATCATATCTTATTTGAAAATCATAAAATCAATTAATAGGACGTATGTGTATACGTGGAAACTTTAGGGGGTGCAAAAAGATTATCTTTAAAATGACCCCCACCCCCCAACAAAAGTGACCGTTAGTTAAACGGAAAAGTCCCTTGTAATTTTATATGTTTATTTATTTAATTATACTAAGTTAAATTAAGTAATTAATTAACTCATCATTTGCAAATTCTCATTTCCTTTTGTGACCCACTAATAGTTTGGAGCATCACCTATCATAGATGAAAAAGTCTTATTTGCATCACCTATTATATTTATTTATTTATTGAGTTTCTCACCTGGTATATTATATTGGAGCTTAATTAAATTTAAATTCGCATCGAGAAGTTCTACATTAAAGGATAAAACGCTCCCTAACAAAGGTGATTTCGAATCAATTCACTAAAAAAACGTGTAATAGAAAGTTAGAAACCAAATTCTAGTTGAAATAGTTTTAAGAAGCTTTTTAATATTTTTCATGTGAAAACACTCTTATTTTTTCTAGTTGAAATAGTTTCAAGAAGCTTTTTAATATTTTTCATGTGAAAACACTCTTATTTTTTCTAGTTGAAATAGTTTCAAGAAGCTTTTTAATATTTTTCATGTGAAAACACTCTTATTTTTTCTAGTTGAAATAGTTTCAAGAAGCTTTTTAATATTTTTCATGTGAAAACACTCTTATTTTTTCTAGTTGAAATAGTTTCAAGAAGCTTTTTAATATTTTTCATGTGAAAACACTCTTATTTTTTTTCTTTTTACTTCAATCAAAATATACGTGAAAATTAAATAATCACAAAAACTTTTTTTTTTGTTGAGAAGTTTCAATAGGATTGTAAAATTTTTAGTAGTGAAATATTGTAGTCCTATTAAATTAGGCTATATTTCTATTAATACAAAGGCATAGAAAATGTATATGTACTTTAGATTGTATAATCTTACATTTTAACTAGTGATGTAACTCTTTTAAATAAAAGTAAATTCATGGACACATATATTTAATGGATTTCTCATGGCTTGTTTACAAAGTAGTATAACATCCCATGTGAATCGCTATTTGAATATTCTTTTTGGTGTACCAAATTGACCAAACATTAGCGTAGATAGTCCGAATTTATTAATAATTTAGTTAAAAAGTAAATATATTTTTTTCTTCACTTTTTCTCCCCCTACACCGGTATTCCATAAATTGTTTTTAAAAAGTTGAAAATGAGTCCAAAATATTGTTAAATTATGGAAAGTTAAATAAAAATACCCTCCATTCATAATAGTTTGATCCAAAAATATAGAGTCTCTTTTAGGTCAAAGATATCATATATTTTTTAATAAACAAATTGTTTTTTTTTCTTTCTAAACACTATTTTCCTAACAAGAAAAAGATTAATAAAGTGTTTAAAAATAAATGAGAAAATATGTTTATCAGATATTTTTTATTTAAAAATAATAATTATATCAAAGATATTTTTGTTTCAGAATATTAATGACATGAACTCTTTAGACCAAACTACTGACAAAGGGTATTTATATTCAATTCGTATAATTTAAAAGCATTTTCAACCTTTTTTCAATTTTTAAAAATTAGATTATATAGAGTTATAGTAACCTAACATCATTGATTATTTATTAATGAACTAACATAATTAATAAAAATTCATATAGTCAACTTCAATTTAAGTTGGGATTGTTAAGACACCTACATTCTAGATATATACGGTTTCTAGCATTATAATATTTGAACAAAGAATCTGAATAATTTAATGTATATATTTTTAAAATTTAATAATACGTTTTAGGTGTGTTTGACAAGTAATTGCACCATTATCATGAATGTAATAATAAATTGTTTTTTCTATCTCAATTTATATAATATTTTTATTTTAATTTATGTAATGTTTTTTTTACTTTTTGAGAGATAAATATAAAAATCGTTAATCATAATTTGTTTATGATTTATAGCACTTCTTTCATCCTAAAAAATAAGTGTCACGGTATAAACATAAACTGTTCCAAAATTAGTGTTATCTTTAGCAACAATGTTCAATTTTCAAGAGACATTTATTAAATAGAAATAGTTTTGATAAATTATACTCCCTCCGTTCATTTCTACTTGTCACAATTTGACTTGCCACACCCATTAAGAAAATAATTATTGATATATGTATTTTACCAAACAGTCCCTATTAAATGATGTCTTGAAAAATAAGTATTTAATGTTAAGGGTAAAGCATGAAAAAAAATTATTGTCTTTTCGATATGTCAAAAGTAACAAGTAAAAATGAAATCTATTTTAAGAATGATTAACAAGTAAAAGTGAACGGAGGAAGTACATTATATTTATTAAATTCTTAATAAGCATAATTATTTATAGCACTAATATAAATATTACACTAGTGGTAATAGTGATAAACATGAAGAGAAACAATTAATTTGGTCCTAATCTACACTTATTAGTGCTAATCCCTAGGCTACACTTATTAGAGATAAACATCAAGAGAAACAATTATTTGTGCATTAATTAATTGCTCCTAAGCTACACTTATTAATGCCTCAATTTTAAATAGTGAAATTCATTTCATGTTGATTTTTAGTTGTCACTTTTAGCTTATATTATTCATAATACTTATAAATCACTTGCTCGTTAAATTATTTCCCATATTATAAATCAATTAATATAAATATGCGATTAAATAAAGTGGATAAAAAAAATCGAAAGAGTTGGAGAGGGTATGATAGTGATGATGACCTAGTGTTGAGGTTGAGTAAAATAAGAATCGGGAGAGAGCAGAGTGTATAACACTGCTATAATTATAATTCATGAATTTATTTATAATCGCGATTGTTATGATACCTAATTTGAGATGCTGAATTAAGATAATTAAAATAATCTAATATTATAATAAATGAAAAAGGAAATACCAATATATTTTTTGAGCTAAGATGATCTGGCAATGCATGTGAGCTGAGCATATGTAAGTGTGACCTCTGAAGACTACTCTGCTCTGCTGATTGTGACAGTGATCGAGGTCAGAGACGAATTTAGAATTTTTAAAATATGAATATAACTTTTTAGAAAAATATATGCATGTGGAATTGATTTCTAATTTTTTAGATAAGTAACTCAATATTTAATTAAGTGCTTCATTTAATTTTTTATAGTATAAATATATATATAAAATATTTAATTTTACGAAAAGATCACTAGGATATAAATTCACCCCTAACTAGTGTGCATGTGCTCGGTCATATCTCGTTTGATCATAGATTTTGTAATTGAAATTTGAAAGAAAATGAATTTTTGAAATTGTGATTTTGTAACTTGAAATTGTGTTTGAAAAAGTATTTTACTTAAATTCTTTTTTAAAATTTTGTAAGCTGAAGCTTCAAAAATAGATATATAAATAAATAACTTTTTAATAATCTACTCTCCAAATTAATTACTAAACAATAGTTAAAATGCTTATATTATATTTAAATTAATAACACAATATAATATCAAAAGTAACAACCATCCAAACAAGTTACTAATAAATAAGTTAAATAGCTTTAAAATAATAAATTGATCTTCTTCTTCTCCCTCTTTCCAATGAGACTAAAAGAAAAAGTCACTTTTTTGGTTTCCATTGGAGCCCAAATTGGAATTCCGATTAAATTCGGATCGCGCTCTGTAGGGCCTATTTGGGGGTGACGCTCTCAATAAAATTTTCTCCATATCCAGGGTTCAA